ACAGAGCCTCATTTGAAACTGTCCTATATGCGCTAGATACATCATCATCATCTCTGGCTCGACAATCCTCTGTGGATCTTGGCCTGCTCTAAGATTCGTCGCCATTCTGTTCGGTTTCTGGCAACATGTTGCGCTAGATACCCTGAGGAGTATTCGTCTTTGCGAAGTTTATCAGCTTAGCGTATTTCGCAGTGTTTAGTACACTACATCACACAGGGGCAGCGTAGGTTACCACCGACTGGAAAACTCCATTTAGCACCTTTCTTTTGGTGCTTCCTAGACCTTCAATGTTTGGCATCAGCCGTATCAACGCCTTCAGATTTCGTTCGCCTTTTCTACTGTCTTTTGGATGTGTACTCCAAACCTTAGACCTTTCGACAACCAGACTCCCAGATACTTAATTGATTTTACCGAGTGCAACCTCCACTATAAAGCAAAGAGAGGATTTTTCCCTTTGAGAGGGTCCCTTTGAGAACTAACACTTCAGTTTTCTGAGGCGCTAGCTGTAGATCGTTTTCTCTGATCCACCTACTAATTCCACGCAGAGCTGTGTTAGCCGCATTATAATATATTTAGTAGTAGAATAGCTGTTTCGGCAGAGTGTCTTTCTCAAGTGATCTATTTTTGATATGTCTCTTACACTTTATAGTCTTTAACTGAATAGGTTAAGAAGGGAACAATTGTTTTTCTCAAGTTGGTTATTTAGAATTATGTCTATATATTACAATTTGTTTATCTACTTATATGCTAATAAAGATAGCTTAAAGCCTTTGTTTTGGATGTGAAGAATTTGAAATTCATCTTAAAAGAATGAATATGATCTAGAAGATGAAATGCGTATATAGAATCTGTTTTTCTATTATTGAAAGCCCTTTTATGTTCTGCTATACGTTTGTTAAAATTTCTACCAGTTTGACCGATGTAAGTTTTTGAGCAGTCGCCAGATTTAAATTTGTATACACCACTGTATAAGTGCTTTTTATTTTGGCTCTTGTTGTTTTTTAATTTTTAATAATCTTATGTATTTATTATTTTGTCTGTGATTGTGAAATACTATGCAATACTAGCTTTATATATACTTTTTAGGTCAAAAATGGAGGTCAATGCGACAAGTTTTGAGCCCATCGTTCACGAGCAGCAAAATGAAAATATTGTTTATACTTATTTCAGAGTGTGCACGAAATTTCACGAAACATTTTCTAGAAAATGAAAAAGATGTCGTAGAAATAGAACTTAAAGATACATTTACAAGATTTACTAACGATGTTATTGCCACTTCTGCATTTGGTATACAAACAGATTCCCTTAAAAACAAAGAAAATGAATTTTATTTAATGGGTAAAAGCTTAACGTCATTTACAGGAGGATTTTTAACAATGCTTAAGTTTTTTTTACTTTTTTTGTTTCCAAAACTATACATGGTAAGAAAAGATTAATATTTTTAATACGTTCGTAAAAGTGTGTGCCGCACTAAAGTATTTTCTCCAAGTAACAATATTATTTTCATTTTTAAAGTATGTAAGTGATAAAATAACAGATAAATAGGCAATATTTGTAATATTTATTATATGCAATAGATAACGTTCCCATCGAGCAAGTGAGAACATTCAAATACTTGAAAGTGATGGTAACGACCAATGAAATCCACCACACAAAATAAAATATCGTGATAAACAAACAAGTCAAGCTTTTGTTAAGTTTAAACGCTACTATGTAACCGCAATCTTTCTTTAAATCCTCGTTTCAGTATGGTTACATGCTATGTGTGATCCATATTGTATACGAAGTGGAGACATGGAAGTTGAAAATATCCTCCGTTATTAAATTGGAAGCTTTCTAATTGTGGACCCGCGAATAATGTTCCGCATACTATGCATAGGAGTGCATAACAAAGCGTACACTTTCTAAGTGACACGGAGAGAAAGGAAGAGAAAGATGATGTCATCATTAAAATGATGCAACACCTAATGGAAAAAAAAAGAAAATATATGAATGAAATAAAGCAAATAAGAAAAAACCAATGGAAAATAAACAATTACAAGAGATAAAGAAAAAAAAAAAACGACGTGTAACAATTACAAGACAAAATGAAACAACTGAAGAAAATAAGTAAAAAGAAAAGTCTGAATATATCGGGTTTAAAAATAGATACAAATGATAATAAGAAACTAAAATAAAGCATGGAAACATTCATATCACAAGAACTGCAGGAGCAAATAAAACTGAGGAAAGCAACAAAAATATGAGAAACAATATATGCCATAGAAACAAAAACTTTACAAAAACTTTTACGGATAAAATTGAGATAATTAATAGGAAAAGTAAGTTAAAGTAGGATACAGATCCATAGATATATATATTATATATATATATATATATATTATATATATATATATATATATATATATATATATATATAAATAATGACCTGACACTAAAGGAAAAAGAAATACAGATAGAAATAGTTAAAATAGCAAAGGAATTTTTATTTTATTTAGCGTATGGCAATTTGATACACAACATTATCACATATATGTTACAATCTAACATCTAATGTATTAATATATTCAATCGACGCTGGTGTTGCAGAGGCGAAGTCTAGAGGATCTCCATAATACTTCCTCCGAGGGCATTCGGCAATCATATGCTGGATGGTCTGTTTCTCGGCGCCGCAGTCGCACTCAGCAGAGGTTCTCATCCTCCATTTATAAAGGGAATCTGCGCAGACTCCATGACCCGTTCTTATCCTGTTAAGAGTTGACCATGATTTTCGGGGGAGGTCAAAACCTGGTGGAGTTTCTGTGATGCATGGTGTGTTTCTCATTATTAGGTTCGGTCTGTCGCTCTGCATGTTCTTCCACTGGGAGTTCATTTGGAAATTGTTGGAACTCAAGTTTATTGCATCTCTAGTCGGAGGTTTTCTGGAGCGCAATCGATGTGAATTAGCGTCGGCGACATATGTGTGTATAGGTAATTGCGGGTTGTTAAGCAGCTTTTGGAATTCTCTAAGCAGAGCATGCTGACGACGAAGATTAGGTGGAGGTATATGGCTCAGTAGTGGAAGCCACTCCACAGGTGTAGACTTGATCGTTCCAGATATGAGACGCATGGCGACATTGAGCTGGGTATCTATAATTTTTGTGTGAACGCTATTCAGCCAAACAGGAGAGCAGTATTCAGCTGCGGAGTATACGAGTCCAAGGGCTGAACACCGAAGTGTACCTGCTGATGAGCCCCATGTAGTCCCGCAAAGCTTCTGTATGATGTTGTTACGGGTTCTCAGCTTTGCTGCGGTGTTCTCAAGATGTTTCTTAAAGGAGAGTGTTCTGTCCAGGGTGACGCCGAGGTACTTGGGATTATAGTTGTGCGTGAGCAGTTGGTTATCAATGTATACTTTAAGTTTTGTGTGGGCCATTTTGTTGTTCAGGTGAAAACAGCTAACCTCGGTTTTTTTGGGGTTAGGTTTAAGTCTCCATTGTTTAAAGTACTTAACCAGGCGTTCCAGATCTTCCGTTAGGATTGCCTCGGAGTTTTGTATTAAGGAGCTTTGAGTTGCAAGTGCCCAGTCGTCTGCATATCCAAATTTTTTAGATCTGGTAGGGGGCATATCAGCTATATACATACTAAATAGCAGCGGTGCAAGTACGGAGCCCTGGGGGAGGCCATTATTAAGCGTTCTCTGTTTGCTCACTGTAGTTCCCATGGTTACACGGATGTTTCTACTGCTCAGCATAGTATTTATGAGTCGGGCGGTTGCTTTGCAGGGGATTATTTTAAGGAGCTTATAGATGAGGCCATCTTTCCAAACCGTGTCATAGGCAGCCGATAAATCGATGAATGCCACAGACGTCTTCAGTTTTCTTTGGTAACCTGCCTCTATGTAGGTAGTTATAGAGAGCACTTGGTCAGTGGTGCTTCGTTGAGGCCTGAATCCTGCTTGTTCAATTGGTATTTTTTGAAGTAGCTTTGGGCCGATTCTGTTCAGGACCAGTCTTTCGAGGAGCTTGTAAGCTGAACTGAGTAAAGCGATGGGGCGGTAACTCGCTGGGTTGTCTGTTGGTTTTCCAGGTTTCAGGATGGCTATGATTTTTGTTTGTTTAAAGAGGTTTGGTAGGTTACCTGTTTTGAGTATATCTGTATAGAATTTAGACAACCAGGTTTTTGCAGATTTCCCACAATGGATCAGGAATTCGGGAGGTATACCGTCTGTACCAGGAGCTTTGTTAGGTTTAATGTCTTTGATGGCGTTTGAGACTTCTTCTGGAGTGAACGGTGCGGAGTACTCTGTATCTGATGGACAGGCAGCTTTTAGATGTTTAAGCTCCCTTTTTATAGTAGTGGTAAACTTTTTATCACATGCTCCTCTGGAGGTGGCAACTATATGTGATGCAATTTTATTAGGGTTGAAGTCGTGGATTCGTCGTGTTGCCAGTTTGTCACTTCCGAGTTTTCTTAGGAGCGACCACGCTTTACGGCTAGACTTTTTGAAATCTAACGATTCGACTTCATTTGTCCATTTCTTCCTTCTATAGCAAAGGAAGTATTAAAAAGTAAAGAAAAGCAGACGAGGAGACAGAAACGTTCCTTTATTGAAATGTGTGAGATCCTCAAGAACCAATTTGCAATAAAAAAAAAAACAAACACAAAAGAACCGACATCGACAATTTCCAACATCCACCCGTCCAACTAATTACTCAACACAGGGATTGAAATTTGTTCGACATATTAGGCCCTTAAATTTTAGGTATTGCTTCGCGTCGTTTGCATAGATTGAAATAAATCAGTGCTTTGTTTGTCTTCATTGGAGAAACATCTTTAAATGAAACCAAATGTCCATTAAACTAATGAAGTAGTCGACTTCTTTTTTTTGTTTGCCAATTTGAATGACCAATTAAACCTCTGAATTCACTAGTTGAATACCTTTGAAATATATATAATTATATAGAATTATATGTTTTATCTTTTTTCACCTAGCGTTGTATTTTATTTCATTGAAGTTTTTAAAATTGGGTATTTTTAAACCTGAAGTAAAATCATTCTTTACAAATCTTATAAAAGACAACATAAAAGCAAGGAAAGAAAAAGGCATTGTACGTCCAGATATGCTTCAATTATTATTAGAAGCACAAAAGGGCGTGGAACTTAAAGAGGAAATTGTAGCCGATGAAAGTTTTGCTGTCCAAGAGGAATCTACTTTACAAGGTAACAAAATATTTTCTTATAATACTTTGCTTAACCTATTACAATAACACATTTAACATAACCTAATGAAGATGTTGTTCTTTGTTGCTTTTTGTGGTAGAAGCTGTTCATTTCACATAAGTTATTTTGAAGAAGAAAACCCACCAGCGTTTTCCTCTTTCGTTACATTAGTCTGACCCGAATTTTCTTATAAATATATCTTAAATACAACGTTCTGCTAAGATTTTTAGCATTAAAACCACATTGCGTAGGAGTTTCCTTTAGAGATATTATTTAGACTTTTTGGTTTGAATCGGAATCAGCTCGAATGGCCGACGAAGTAGAGATACTGAAATAACTGTTATATTATCATTCTATTGATTCATTCATGATTTTGTTTGTTATTGTCAGTCACAGGTATTGGTTTAATATTTCTCCTCAACGTCTTCTGTTTGGACAAGTGGCTTCTGTTCCCAACATAATCAGCTGCTTTTGATATAAATATTTTGATTTTCAAATATTCCCTTATTTCTTGTTTGGTAATATTATCTTCTAGTTCTTTCAGATATATCTTAAACAATTAGTTTTAAGATTAGGTTTTGGCTACCAGTGTTACGTCATGAGTTTTAATTTACTTAAGACTTTCTTTCTGTATTACTTCCTCTGATTCACGTGTAAATGAGTTTCAGTTTATTATCTCTCTCCGAATAATATTCTTGTTGGTAGCTGCTTACGAAAGTTGTCTTGTTTTTCCTCATATTTTCATAAAAATATCACAGTAGAACATTAAAATCTTGCCTTCCTTTAAAAAGAAAAATGACTTTCTTTTTTTTAATGTTTTAGAAACTAGTGTCCATAAACCTATTAACAAGTTAACCGACGAAGACATCACTGCTCAAGCAATGATATTCTTCTTTGCTGGATTTGATTCAGTTGCCACGCTTATGTGCTTCATGGCGTATGAAATAGCTGTTCATCCTGATATTCAAACTAGGCTTAGAAACGAAATACAAGAAACATTGCACGAGCATCAAGGGCAGTTAACGTATGAAGTTTTACTCAAAATGAAATATTTGGATATGGTCGTGTCAGGTGAGTAAAATATATGTTTGTTCTTTCAAATAACATTTATTTAAAAAACACAAGTAAATTAGCTACAGCTAGCTATATAGTGCATATTATTCGGTAGTAAATTAGCCCTTACCTAATGGCGGCAGATCTTATTCTTAAATCTAGCTATCATAATTTCAGCGAAAAAAAAAAACATCCATTGTATAATAGTTTTTAGCAATATAAATATCTTTAAAAAATATTCGTTACTTATGTGGCCAAATTTAAAATCGTGACGAATTTCGGTTTCATTTTGTAAGAGATTTTTTGTTGTTAAAATTTAGCACCAACGAAAAATTTTAACAATACGTAGAATATAAGATCATAGAGATCATCATTTGTCTGGTTAATCCCATGTTTTATTTCATGGATGGAAAGCGACTTCTACGGTACATAAAAACAAATATGGAGATTCATAAGAAACCAACGGAAAAAATTGCAGAATTGAAGGAATACAATAACATACCAGTACACGAATGGGAAAGATAGCTGACGTAACTGTTCAAAGCAAAGGAAAATAATAATCAACACAATAATATACCTGAATTAAGACACGAAATAAAAATCAGTTTTCAGGAAGTAAAAATAGCCATAAATTCACTCAATATTAGAAAGTTACCAGGACCAGACGGAATAACCAACGAGCTTCTAAAACACGAAGGAAAAAGTGTAAACCCTAGAGATGACAGAATTTAAAAAAAACTATTATTGCACTGCAAGCTACTAGACTCATGCACAACCAGCGTAATGATACAAATATTCAAGACAGGAAGTAAAGAAGACCCCAACAATTATAGAGGTATAAATCTACCGAACACTGCAGTTAAGCTTACTACAAACGGAGGATATGGCACAGTGGACGAAAATGCTGATCTCGAACATAAGAGATTGGGTGGACTGTGGCACAGGCGACTGGATTATTTGCTGACGCAGGTGCTCACAGGACACGGGTGTTTTAGAGCCTACCTCTTTAGAATCGGAAAGGCTGACACAGATGAATGGCTATACTGTGGATACTCGGACACTGTGACACATATGATGTTAGATTGCAGCAAATGGATAGTGGAAAGGAACAGAATGGAGAGAGAAATATGTGTGAATTTTGTTACAGTGAGAGAAATAATTGAGAGAATGACAATTGGATGAATGATGATGAAAATAAATCAGGTTGGACTAACATACACAGCAATATCTGTGCAGTGATCAAGAAAAAGAAGAGAAAGAAAGACAGCTGGACCAACGGCAAAGGTAAGAGTGAAAGATGCTGAAAGTTAAAGCTAGAAAAGTGGGTCAGACTTTATGAGTTAAAATGCGTGATTCAGACTGTCGGGAAGGAGGAAATGTCCGTCTGAGAATGATGCCGTATTAAGAGCGATGAGGGTCTTCTACACGCTACCTGGAACGAGACAGGGAGCCTCCTTGCTGATAAATAGAGTATGGATGTGTATGAATGGAGAATGAATGAATGAAGGTAGCTTCGGAAGTGATGCGGCCTTATAGCGGCCATGCCGCTTCCGAATCTCTGGATGAGAGAGGAGGATCTGGTTTAGCAGGTAGGCGTTCGGCATAGACCTCCGACATTTTAAAGTACCTCGGGAAATATCGCCGGGATTACGAAGAACGAATCCTGCAGTAAGGTAAGTCAGGAGGCGTCCTGGACTGAGATTTTTTTTGAAGATTCCAGACCACCCGCTATAAAGACGAAAAAAAAACAAAGTTATACAACTAATAAATTGCAAACGATCCTTCTTTTTATACTGATGTTTGAGTACTAAACAAGAAATTACAAAATAGAAAGCTGCTAAAATATACACGGTCCAGATCAAATTCGTTCGGATTTAAACGCGAGTTGTCTATTCCATCAGTCTCTGTGACCGAACATTAGTAACGGATGGTTAAAAGAGTCTCAGAATTGGTTATAACGGAGAAGAATTTTTTTAATTTCCTTTGGTTTTATCGTAATAGTACTGTAAATGTAATGTTGCTATTGAAATTAAATGATGTTTCATATTTATTTAAAAAATATCTGATGTATTAATTTGCAGTCATTTAAGCTGATAATTATTTTTAGAATCCTTGAGAAAATGGCCAGCAAACGTAGTAGTTGATCGAGAGTGCACAAAAGATTACACAATTCAACCAAAGCTAACCGGGGAAGTAGCTGTTCACCTACTAGAAAAATCTACCGTGTGGATACCAATAATTGGAATTCATCGTAATCCAGAATATTACCCAGATCCCGAAAATTTTGATCCGGAGCGATTTAACGATGAAAATCGGCACAAAATCAACTCTTACGTTTACTTACCCTTTGGATTGGGGCCAAGAAATTGTATTGGGTCAAGATTTGCTTTGCTTGAAATTAAAATAGTGTTCTTTTATCTGTTGCAACACTTTGAATTAGTACCGACAGCAAAATCACAAATTCCACTTAAGATATCCAGACAAACTTTTAATCTAAACGCTGAAGGTGGTTTTTGGTTTGGACTAAAACGACTTTATAATTAAGTTTAACATATTTTAGTTTACTGTTACTTCTAATTTTGGACTGCTTTTTTAATGTTACAAATAATAAAATTATAGTGTATTTTATGTATGAGAGAGTAATAAAACAATAAATTATGTATGCAAATCCCTAAACTGTTGATACGGGTGACTCAATGAAAAACAGATATTTGTCAACAAGTTTACAGAAGTATATAGGAAAACAATTTTAAATTGAGTATGACCACCAGGTATAAAGGTTGGAGCAGAATAGAATACAATAGTTGTGAGGGTTACTAATCCCTAAATAAGGTTGCCAGTGTCGGAGTGATGGAGGTTAACAGGTACTAATGAATTTGCAAGAAATGTAAGATGTTTATTTTATTGGTTATATATAACCAATAAAAGTTTAATAAGTACCTACCTATTTGCAAAATAAAGTTTAATTCTTTAGATAAAATAAAACGTTTTATTTTATCTGAAATGAGTGCATTCCACGAAGTAAGGGTTTCAACAATCAAACATTTAATTCTTTAATTCCAGGAATCTACGACAGTAATTGACTAGATAATTACCTTCTAAACTTATTCCACAGAAAATGTGATAGTGGGTTTTTCCATTTTGTAGGAAGGTCCAAGTGGCGTATTCAAAATTCTTAACAGTTCACTAAAAGTAGGTACTTCAGTTGCAAGGTGCAGTTTATTGTGTATACTAGTGTTATGGAAAATTTGGAAGTGCCGTGTAAACGCCGAAAAATTGGTCCTTTAACAGTTAATGAAAAAACATTAATATTTAATTGTTTTAAATCATTTACAGACAAACGTTTATGTGAAAGTGTTGATGAGACCGTTGAGTTAGTTAGCAGTACACTTGGTGTTGGGAAATCTACGATTTACAGAGTTATTAAAGAAGAGAAATGTGGTAGTTTTCAAATGCCACGTAATGCTCCAGGGAAACCAAAATTTCAAATAGAATATCATTTTAAAGAAGGACTTCGACGGAAAGTGCATGAATTCTTCTTTAGACAAGAATTTCCAACATTGGATAAAGTTCTTGTCTCAGTTCGAGATGATAAGGATTACCCAGAAATGAGTCGAAGTACGTTATGGAAACTTTTAAAAGAAATAGGCTTCCGCTGGAAAAAGAATCCCAGAAAGTCTATTTTATTAGAAAGAAGCGATATTGTCATATGGAGAAGACATTTTCTAAGAACCATAAAGGAAATGAGAAACCAAAAAAGAAAAATATTTTATCTTGATGAAACATGGATCAACGAGGGTCATACACCAAATAAATTTTGGCAGGATGAAACTGTTACAAGTCAAAGGCACGCTTTTGTAAATAACTTATCTACTGGTTTAAACCCACCATCAGGAAAGGGACGCAGGCTGATAATAGTACACATTGGCAGTTCAGACGGTTTTGTTGAAGGTGGTTTATTAACTTTTGAATCAACTCGTACCGGTGACTACCATGAAGACATGAACGCTGATGTCTTTCAAGAATGGTTCGAACAAATGATAGATCTTCTTCCTAAGAACTGTGTAATAGTAATGGATAATGCAAGTTATCACTCCAGACTTATAGAAGGACTGCCCACAACCAAGTGGTTAAAAAAAGACTTGCAGAATTGGCTGAGTTCAAAAAATATTACGTACCATCCCGGATCTATAAGAAAGGAACTTTATTCGTTGTGTGCCCTTCATAAAGAAAAATTTAAAAAATACGAAATTGATGAAATTGCCAAAAATCGTGGAATGACAGTACTTAGATCCCCACCATATCATTGTGAATTAAACCCGATTGAACTGGTATGGGCACAGATAAAGAGTGAAGTTTCAAGAAAAAATACCACTTTTAAAATTCATGATGTTAAACAGTTGTTTTTGGAGGCCGTAAATAATGTAAAACCTGAAAACTGGGAAAAGGCAGTAAATCACACTATTAAAGAAGAGGAAAAAATGTGGAAGCTGGACAATATTACTGATAAAATGATCGAGCCAGTTATTATAAATCTTGGTTCTGAAAGTTCATCTTCTGAATCTGATTTGGATTTGTAACAAGTAGCTGTAAGTTTTATATTAATATTTTTATTCATCTATTTAACATACCTTAGACGGTTTTAAAAACTCTTTTTCTCTTTTGTAATTTTTAAAAATTAAAAAAAATGTGAATTTTTTAAAACCCTTTTTAATGTAGGCCAGTCAGTTCTAATATAGTGTGTGATAAAAGAGGTCACTTTTGTTTACATACACATAACACTTTATAACACTGAAATAATTCATTTATTTTTTACAATTATTCAAAGTAATTTTTCAATTATTCATATCAATAATATTTCATTTGCATCTCTAGAAGATATTAAAACCAATTTAGACTGGTTTTTCAAGTTCATGTTAAATTCGTAATTAAAATTAAGCTAATTACCAAGTTTTATTTTGCATAAAAGTGAAAACAAATTAAATTTTGTATACAGGTGAGTCACCACTAACGAGACGGAAGATTGCAGCGAAACGGTAAAAGATTTAGAAAAAATTTTAAATATATAGTATGTATGTTAATAAAGGCTACATTTTAAAATTATTCTGAAATATACAGGGTGCCACAATAAAGCGCGGCGTTTCAAAGCTTATATTTTTTCTTATGGAACACCTTGTATTTGATTGAATTTTCTAATTATCTGCAAAAAATAAGGTATAGTTTCATAAGACTTCCCTATACCTATGTACATAGTGTTCTGAGTTATGTCGAATTTTCTTAAAATGTAAAACTTTAAACGAGACTCATTCTTAATTTATTTAAGCAATTCTAATAAAATTACTCATACATCTAAATAGCTGAATATTGGTGAATGTATTTCATGATTAATTATTAAACATTTATTTACAGGGTATTCAAAATTTGTAGTTTCATTATTGGATTATTCAATGTGTAATATAAGGCTTATTTTAAATGAAACACCCTGTATATTAATGAATTATTAAATTAAAAAGAAATTTCTCTTTCGAATGATATACGGATGTCCTATAACTAGTACTGATAGTTTTGCCGTAATTTAAAATGTTGTTAAATGTTTATTAAATGTTCAAATATTTATAATATAATAACTACTTCCAAAGCGTTTTATTTGCGACAGCTTTGGACGTATAATTTTTGTGTTCACAATGTAACCACAGGAAGATCAGAAATGTACATCTGGGATGAATCCATTTCAAGCAGGGGATCTCAAGAAATTGGTTCGTGCCTCATTCATTTTGCAAATAACGTACTCTCTAAATGTGTTACCAAGATCATCGCATATAGCGATTGCTGTGGTGGACAGAACAAAAATAAAAACATTGTAAAGCTGTTTATGTTCTTGGTTAAATCTACTCATATTCAAGAGATTCATCACAAGTTTTTGGAACCAGGCCATACATTTATGGAGTGCGATAGAGATTTTGGTATAATTGAAAAAGTGAAGCGTAAGAATCCACAGGTATTTATTCCAGAGCACTGGGCCCAGCTAATTCAATCAGCTTGCAAAAAATTTAATGTACACCGAATGAATCAAGAAAACTTTTACAGTTTTGAAACAATAAACAAAGTTATAAGTGATCCCAAAAAAGACAGTAAAGGTGTTCTTTTTAAATGGAGACCAGTGCGGTACTTTTTGTATGAAAAATCTTCCGAAACATTTTCGTTTTCTTTTAAGGAAACATTAAATGAAGAGTTTTTATTTTTTACATGTGTATGTGTACAAAAAGGAGCTGGACGTCCTACTATTACCATGGAAAATATGTTTAAAAAAAATCTTAACGCTCAGCCGATAAAAATCAATAAATTGAAATGGGACAATATTCAAAAACTTCTCGATTTTATTCCACCGGTTTACCACGAGTTCTACAACAACCTTCCCAATGAACACAAGAAAAAATTAAAAACTAAGACCGCCAACGAAGCGTCTGAAGAAGGTATTCAAGAAAAAACTGAAACGTTGGAGTCGGCATCGCAGCAAATTAAGTTTGGCGAAGACATGGAAGATACAGCAGTGCTGGACTCTGATTATGAGTGAAACTTGCTTAGTGAAAAGATATTTTTGGCAATCTTCTATTATTTTATCGTTTCATATTATAAATAAATAATTTACCCAATAAAGGTTTAAACAAACATTTTCAAAATTTACCTCTTTTCCTGCAGATCCTACGGATGCATTTTAGTCCAGATAATAATTGGTTGACCGTTCAGAATAAGAGGGGTCCAAGTGCTTTTTTTCAAAATAAAGGTGAATTGGTTATTTTTTTGAAAATGTGTGTAGGTATAATATTTTTCTGGTCCCTTAATAATATAATAATACTATGTACGACTGTAGCTAATGTACAAGGAATTTTTATTATTCAAAAAACTTTGACCTTAAATATCTCAAAACTAGTAAAATTGCACTTGGATCCCTTTTATTCTAAGCCCCTCAATTGTTACTTTCGAATTTTAAACCCATCATATTAAAATATTCTTATAAACGAAACCAGTGCAGTTGTAAATACATTTTTTGTAAATAAATTAAAATTGTTGATGTCTTTGGATTTGTATTCGTTGGGAATAGGATAATTACTATTAAAATATGATAAAAAGAAAATAAAAAAGAATTGTTGAAAATCTGATGTTTTTTAGATTTCATACGATCATCAAGTGAAAGGCAACTGCGCAGAGGTTACAGTTTTCAAAAATACGTAGATATTAACGTTATGTTTAATTTTTTGTATTATGTTAAGTATTAAAATAAGTTTAATATTTAAATAAAAATAAAACTGTAAAATACATTTATTTCTTTGAAGTCATAATAATAGATGTACTATAACTTCTTACGTGCTTACGAGCACACACTCTTTTTTTGAAAACAATTAAATACATAACGAAACAGAAAGAATTTTAATAAAACAAATAATACAAAATAATACAAAATGAATAATGAACATAAATAATACAAAATAATCCAAAACTTACTATAAGTAAAAAAATGTTCAGGTATGTAACAAATGTTCAAATTGCTTGTCATCTTGTGCAATACAACAAGCGATTCTATCTT